GTAAACATATTTCATCCAGTTTTTCTCAGTCTTACCCCCACCCCAATGCCAGCCTCATTCTACAACAGTGGCACCATATAGCATTTGTCCCTTTGTGGCTGAGATACCTCACTCAGCATAATGTCCTCCAGGTTCACCCATTTTGAATAATATTGCATGAGTTCCTTGTTTTTCAGTAGGTTAACATTTTTTTATGATCCTCCCTGAGAATCTTTTTGTTAATCTTTGTCAAGTGGTCATTTTCTATTTCTGTCATTTATAGGTTACTTTTAAAAAAAGTTACATGTAAGGGTTTTTTATTTGTTTTTAAATTCTGCATATAGTTTGATTTTGAAAGAGATCTATCTAAATATCTGAAAATATTTTCCTTGTTTTGCCTGTGGGGAGAAGTCAGGGATGAATGGCGTCAATTACTTTTTAAGCAGGTAAATCTGAATGATAAGAATTGTAAATTATTTGGTTTGAACCTCTTCTCTCTTTGGAGATAAAAGCCTAGTGAAAAACATTGTATACAAACTTTGTAAGAAAACAAGTATAAAATAAAAATTTATTCAATAAAACCCCAAAAACCAACCTAGTAAACTTCCTGTATTAAATTTGTCTTAAGTTTCTGAACAGAGAGTTGATGGTCAAACTATTTCTCTTCTACACACTGAAATCCTGCTGTGCTTCCCTTCAAGATGTTTTCTCATACTTACCTTGTCCGTTGCTTTATAGTTTCTTTAAAACTTTAATTGGTGCTTTTGCTAATTATGCATACCTTGTCATTCTTTGCTTTCAGATTCGAATGAGAGGGTCCCTTCCTTCCTTGAGTCCTTTCCCTGAGTCATTACTGGATTACTGTAGAGGCGGGGTAGCATTCTTCAGACCTGGAGCAGCTGGAGACCAAAAGCTCGATGAAGCTTCTTGTAAAGCAATAGGTTTGTGTTGAAATCAACTGCATGCTTGAGAATTAGGCCGACAGAGGCATTATCGCGGATTTTGCCTTTGATTAGGGCAAGTTTAAAAATGATAGTGACTCTTCAGAGTATAGCATGTTCTGTGATACTTTGTGTTTACAATCAGATGGATGTTTTTTAGCAGCCATGTATTTTTAAAAATTTTTTATTTTATTAATTTTAATGAACATTTACAGAGATTTTGGATTTCCATTCATTCATTGTTCCATTTTTCTCCCTGCCCACCCCTCCTCCCCAGTTCGCTCTTCTCTTTGAAAAGTAAAAGAAAAATTCCTTCTTTGGTGTACAATCTCCCTGCCCAGCCCCGAGTACACTTCACTATGCAACCTTCATTCTGGACTCTTGTCATAACTGTAATACCCAATCATATATCGCTTTTAAGCTGTTCTCTCCCTCCTCTGTTTCAATGCAGTATACATAATTTATCCAATTTTTCTCAGTCTTACCCCCCTTGATGTCAGTCCTGTTCTACAACAGTGACACTATGCAGTATTTGTCATTTTGTGACTGAGATATTTCACTCAGCATAATGTTTGAATAATATTGCATGAGTTTCTTGTTTTTTAATGCAGTGTAATCCATTGTGTGAATATACCAGAGCTTCTCTATCCATTACTTTGTTGATGGGCACTTAGGTTGTTTCCAACTCTTTGCTATTGTGAACAAAGCCATAGTAAACATGGGTGTGTGTATATTGGCCTGGGTGGCAGTGATGGTTTCTTTAGGGGTATTTCTTGAATTAAATTTATGTGTGGGTTGAAATTATATGTGACTTGAAAGTAGGATTAAATGGGTGTTTTCTTTTGTTTTAATTGTGACAACTGTGACTTTATCATCGTATAACTGAAATTTTAGCGCTCCAGAATGCCTTTTCTTGTTAATTTTCCTTTGCTTAGGATGTGCCATCCAACACTGTAAGTGGATAGGATTTCAATCTGTCAGTGTTGACTAATGATTTTATTACCTGCTTTTCTAATTTAATATATCATACTAAGCTTTCTTTGATTTTATAAACATTTCAATATCTGTTCATTTTGATGGCTTTTGTTAGCGTACATGTTATCATTTATTTCTGTTGTACAGAGTTACTTCTGTGTATTTCTGTTGCAGATTTTGTAATATTTTCTTTATGGATAGACTCTCAAAAGTGGGCTTGCTAGGTCAATGGTTATGCCTGTTATAGAACATTTCCCCCCGCCACCACCGCCACCATACTCAGAGAGTTTAGTAGGGAAGTCAACAAGATATAGTTCTTCAGTCAGGACAACTCAGGTGTGTTCCCAGTCCCTTGAATGTCAGCCTTGCTGTTCCACCAGGCTAAAATTGAGTAAATTTCGATTCAGTGTGAAAATAACAAGGGCCATGTAGGGAATGCCGTATCGGACCTTTACTAACTTCACAGGAGGAAGCTATCCCTCCCCACAGCATCAGTAACACAAAACCAATTCCCATGAGGTCAGACACATCCTCCACACTCCCATTCCTCTTTCTGCTCATTTCAACACCAAGCTTACTGTTTGGCTGAGTCCAGACTCTGATGTGATAGCTCACAGACCAGATAGAACCATATTTTGAAAGTCAAAATGTTATCATTTAGATTAATAACAGAATACAGTCAAGATAGCTCCCAAGTGTTCACGCAGGCAACTTAGCTTCAAGCCTATCAGTGTTCTGAAGTTCTCAGTCCTGCCAGTATTGACTTCCTTCCCTCAGTTGTCTGACAAAGTTATTAGTTCTGCCAATATTGGTTCCCCTCACCCCAGAGTACCATCTCAAATCAATTCTCATGTTCAGCCATTGTTGGTGCTGTTGTCCCAAAGCTTTCACTTGGGAGGTTGCATTTCTCTTCTGGTGGGGAAAAATTAATTCTTGAAATGGTTATTTTATTCTGATGTGTATGATTACTAATTAGTTAATATTGAACATTTTCACTCACAACTTTTATTTTCTCCTATAAATTGCCTGTTCTTGGTTTAGATCCTTTTTATCTGTTCATCATATTTAAAAGAAGTAAAATTTAAGTATCATTCTATTTTTTCTTCTTTCTCCTGCAATTAATAATTTTGTTAGAGGGAAGGTAATTAATCACCCTCCCAAGCACTCTTCCATGAAGTATTTGGTGCTAATTCCAGATTCCCTTCTCTTGAGTGGCCCCAGGATGTAGTCATCAGAGAGAGATGGGCCTGAGCCCTGTTTGCCATGCTAGGCTGCATTTTCCAAATATCCATCCCATCTCTCAAAATACAGACAAGGATCCGCAATCATCCAGGTACTTGACTTTCATGTAGCAATAGATTCACTGAGTCCAGAGCTAGGACCTGAGTCGGGTAGCCATGCAGCAACCTAGATTGTTCTGCCTTCAGAGTGCAGTGCTCCTGGGATGAGAACAAAGATTCCCTACTTTTTTTCCCTTAAGTTTTAATCTTTTAAGTCATGTTTATATTCAGCCTTGTTATTTCTTCTTTCCATACTTTTACTAAAATATTGCTTTGTAACACCCTCATCTTTAGTACCAATGGAAAAGAATTTTCAACCTGGGGCTCACATGGACAATTTTTCAAGTTGTCTTGGCAGTACAGTGTTTTTATAGTGTTTCTTAGCTGTCAGGAGCTTGGTTTTATACACTTTTACTCACCCTAGCAAAAGAAAGAGCCAATCACTTGTTATTTGGAAGTATTTTGTTGTTGTTTTTATGTGCCGTTGAGTCACCTGCGACCCTATATACAGCAGCTCTGAGTCCTGCCCTGTCCTGAGCCAGTCTTAGTAATTCTGATACACCAACTCCCATTACCTCAGTCACCATATCAATCCATCTCAACCAGGGTCTTCCTCTCGTGCACTGTTCATCTACTTTTCCAAACATGATATCCTTCCCCAAGGACTGGTCTCTCTTGGCCACATGCCCAAAGGATGTAAGACGAGGATTCAAAATCCTAGCCTCCAAGGATCAACTTTGTTTCCCCCTCTCCAAGACAGAACCATTTGTTTTCTTGGCAGTCCATGGTATGTTCAAGTCTCTTCTCCAGCACCACAATTCAAGGACATCAATTCTTCTTCTGTCATCTTTAGTCATTGTCCAGCTCTATGATGTATAGCAAGTAATTGCTAAGACCATGACTTGGATTAGGTGCACCTTAGTCTCCAGACTTATATTGTTGCTTTTCAGCACTATAGAGAGGTCCTCAACAGCAGATTTTCCCAATGCAATTCGTCTTTTTATTTCTTGACTGCTGGTGTTAAGAGTGTTGATTGTAGATCAAATAAATCTTTCGCCTTTTACTAAAAAAAAAAAAAAGAGTGTTGATTGTGGAACCAAGCAAACTGTAATTGTTAACAACCTCAGTCTCTTCTCTGTCTATTATGGTGCTGCCGATTGTCCAAGTGGTGAGAATCTTTGTCTTCTTGATATTAAGCTTCAACCTATATTGAAGACTACAGTCCTTGACCTTATGCAGCAGGCGCTTCAGGTCCTCTTTAGTTTCAGTAAAGCAAGGTTGTGTCATCTGCATAATGTATGTTGTTGACCTTACCTCCATTCGTAATGCCACAATCCTCCTCATAAAACCCTGTTTCCCAAATGATCTCTTCTGCATACAGATTGAAAAGGTATGGAGGGAGGATGCATCCCTGACACACTCCTTTCCTGATTTTGAACTATGTAACGGTCAACACTCTCGGCACCAGCAGCCAGGAAATAAAAAAACGTATTGCCATGGGAAAGTCTGATGTTAGGGACCTCTCTAAAGTACTCAAGAGCAACAGTGTGTCTCTGAAGACTAAGGTGCGCCTGATACAAGCCATGATCTTTACAATCACTTGTTATGCATCAGAGAATTGGATAATGACTAGGGAGGACAGAAAGAGAATTGATGCCTTTGAGCTGTGGTGCTGGAGAATAGTATTGAATGTACCATGGACTGCCAAGAAAACAACCAGATTCATCCTGGAGAGGGTTAAACCAAGCTGCTCCTTGGAGGCAAGGATTCTGGGGCTTCGTCTGACATACTTTGGGCATGTTGCAAGGAGGGACAGGTCCTTGGAGAGGGACATCATGCTTGGGAAGGTGGAGGGACGGCGCAAGAGTGGAAGACCCTCTGTGAGATGGATTGATTCGGTGACTGGGGTAATCGCGATGGGTGTGTCAGAGGCCATGCGATTGGCACCGGATAGAGCAGGGTTTAGGGCTGTTGTGCGCTATGAGTCGCAAACGACTTGACGGCACATAACAACAACAACAGTGTTTCCCTGCTCTGTTCTGAGGACTGCTTCCTGGTCCAAGTATAGGTTTCAGCATAAACACAATCAAGTGCTTGGGATTCCCATTTTCCTCAAGATTGGCCACAATTTGTTGTGATCTACACAATCCAGTGCCTTTGCATAGTCAATGAAACGCAGATAGACATTCCTCTGGTACTCTTTCTGCCAAGATCCATCTGACATTGGCAATAATGACTCTAGTGCCACAACCTCTTCTAAACCCAGCTTGAACTTCTGGCAGTTCTCTGTCAGTGTACTGTTTCAGTCTTTTCTGGATGATCTTCAGCAGGATTTTGCTAGTGTGTGCTATTAATGAAATAGTTTCATAATTTCCACACTTGGTAGCTCTGGTGGCCTAGTGGCAAGAAGCTGCACTTCAATCCCAGAGATACATGGTTCGATTCCTCCACATGATCTGCTGGAGAAGGAGGGGCAATCTCCTGTACCAGTCAGATCCGATTTGACACAAAAAATAATAAAAATAAAGAATTAAAAAAAAATAATTTCCACACTGTCGAGTCATGTACCATTTATTTATTGAAAATCTGGATTTCTAAGCAATGAGTTAAACTCACAAAAATTCCAGTTAAAATAATTTTGGAGCTCTGGTGGCCTAGTGGGTAGAATCTATGCTGCAATCTCAAAGGTACATGACTTGAATCCACCAGCTGCTTCATGGGAGAAGGATAGACAGCCTCCTCCCTTATGATTAACTACCTCTGAAAACTTGCAGAAGGGTCAGCTATGGGTCGGTTCCAACTCGACAGTACTAACAACAATAAATATATTTTTGTTGAAATTTATGTATATTATAAATAATATGTTTCTAGTCATTTCTGCAATAACGAATGAATTTTCTGTCTTTACATCAAATTTTCTAAGTTGGAATAGTTAGATATAGTTCATGATCAAATGTCTGTCTTGGTGTAAGTGTACCTGTCTCTTCATAAAAAGATTAAATAAACACTTTCAGATACGATAAGACATGTTTAACATGATAATACAGTGATGATAATAATGTTTTGATCCTGAGTGGTAAAGTAGTGCGATTTGTTATTATAAACCACTCCAGCTTTACTGAGGTTGGTTCAGGAGCTGTGGTCGCATACTGACAGATGAGTCGGTCTTTTAACCAAAAGTGCAGTTGTTTGAAGACACCACTATGTGGTAGAAAATTAGTATCATCTTAGAAAGATTTGGAACCATCGTGGAGGATCTCCATGAGTTAGAAACTACTTGATGACTATTTGGTTTTGATTTGGAAGTTTCTTAGAACCCATAGTTGTGCATAAATCAAATGTTGATAAGCCAAGGACAGCCTGTATATTACCACTATAGCAAGGTATGCAAGATATATAATGTAAAAAAAAAAAATGGAATTCCTAAATAGTTTCTATAGTGTGATTTTGTTTGTTGGTTTGGTTTTTTCGTGTTGAGTTGATGATGACTCATAGAGACTCTATGAACAATGGATTAAAAAATTTATATTGGTTTGCTTACAGAGTTTGCATACATTGTGTTTCACACTATACTTCATTCACTTTGTAGTTAATACAATAATCTCAATCATTATGTTTTATGAAATTAATCACCATTGAATTAAGCACCCCCCTATTACCCTGTCTTTCCAGATCCCCACCGGATCTTTCCCATTTCCTTTACTCACTAAATTGTGTGACCATATAATTTCCCCCCTACTCATCTTCACTCTTCTGCTTCCCCATCCTTGGATCTTCATGCGTGTTTTGCTTGTTCTCTATTTCTGCATAAATGGTCTTACACAGTATTTGTTCTTATGAGACTGCGTTTACTCAGCATAATGCTCTCTAGTTTCTCCCAAGTTATGTTGTAGTTTTTAAAATTGTTACTTCTGAGTACTAAGTTTTATTCCATCGTATGAATGTACCACAATTTTTCAGCTCATTCAGTTGTGTTTGGACATTTTGGCTGTTACCTTGTTCTTGAGATGGTGAATAACGCTGCTGTGAACATAAGTGTGCAAATCTCCATTTGTGTCCCAGTTTTAATTTTCTTGGGATTATAGCAGTGGATTATAGCTGGTTCATATGGAATTTCCATGTTCAGCTTTTATGGTATGATTTTTATTTATATTTGTGTGTTTGTAGTGCTTTTAGTATTAAAAAATCCTAATTAATGTAGCTAATCATTTTAACAAAAATTACAAACATAAGTAACTGTCAGTGAGTGATTTACCAAGTAAGTTAACTACCTATTAGAGCAATATTAAATATGTTTAAATGTTTTGACTTTGAAAAATATACATAGTGCATTATGAAATTGTAAAACAATTAAATCATTGATAGAGTGAGTTAAAATCATGCATGAAATTTTGGAAGGATATCCATGACTTTTACATGAAGTGTTTGCTGTGAATATTTGTTTCTTTTATTGTTGAAATTAAGAAATTGGCTAAGTGGGGTATTACTAATGTAATGCTGATGTAAATTATTTCATATTTGTGTACCTGATTTAGGTTGCTTCAGAGAACTTTGTGCTTTGTGTTGGATGCTGCATATCCGTGAAAAGTTATCCTATTGTTGCAGGCAATATCAGAAAGCAAGAGAAAATGTGGGGGGGACAAAGGTATTTACCTACAAAAGAATTAGAAAAAATGAAATGATACTTGGAAAATTATTGCTTAATAGATTTTATAATTCAGAAGCTTGCTTTTTGAATGCTGTTCCAGTCAGTTCAGTTTAATTGAAAAGGAAATAATGTTTTTTAAAATACCCATTTAGGACTTTGAAGTAGAGTTTGATTCTTGTTTGATTGAGCACTGTCTTAATGCCGTGGAATGGGCTTATAGAATGCTGCCTTTCTCTCGATTTTTGAATATTGAAGAACTTATTCAGGATATAATTTTAAGTCTCATTGGAGAACTGCCACCAATCAGAAAGGTAAGTGAGAGCAAACAAAATCAGAACCAGGGATTATAATTTTACTTCATTTAAGAATGATGTTCCTCTAAAAACTCATTTTTAAATTTTTCTGAAGGTAGCAGAAATTTTTGTGAAAGCATTTCCCAGTCCTGAGGACATAAGGGTTCCTTTAAGAGAAAAATACCATTCTCTTCAACAGAGACTCAGACACAGTGTCGTGAAAGGTATATAAAAATATACAATTTTTCAAATATCAATTAGTCAGTTACTGAAGGTTTTTTGTTTAGTTGCTGCTATTTGAATAGTTTATATTTTCCTGTCCATTTTCTTTCAGCTTATTTGTTATACTTTTAATCTAAAGTGCATCCTCTATAACAGCAAAGTTAAGTCTCAATTTCTTATCCAGTCTGTCATCTCTATTTTTGATTGGATTCTTTAATCCAGCCACATTTAATATTAAGGTGATTTAGTTGAGTTTATATCTTTCTGTCATTTGTTTTTAATGTGTCTCATGTAATTGTTTCCTCTATTCTCTTAAAGCTTCTTTTGCATGAATTGAATATTTTTAATGGCAAAATAAGTCATTCTTTTATAATTGTTCTGATTTTTTCCTTTTCCAGGACATAGTTTTATAATGTGGTCTTAATTTCTTCATTTCTCAGTTCTTTAATTGAATCACTTCACCCCTTCACAGTTTTCCCTGTAAAAATGAGTAAGGGCCATGCAGGGATGACCATATTTGACCTTTATCAACTTCACAAAGGGGAACTGTCCCTGTCCACAGCTTCAGTAAAACAAAACCATTTCCCATGAAGTCAGACATAACCTATAACCTCCATGCTTTTGTACCTCTTTCTACTCATCTTAACACCAGTCTTACTGGTGTGCTGGGTCCATATACAATGAGATAGTTCACATACCACAAAGAACCATATTAGGAAGTCAAAAGGTTATATTATAGATTAATAACAGGATACAAACAGCTCCTGAAATGTGCATGCAGGCACCTCATCCTGGAGCCTCAAGGCTTTTGGTAAGTGTTCTCAAGTTCTCAGTCCTACTAATATTGGCTTCTCACCCCCTTTTGTACAACAGAGTTCTCAATCCTGCCAATATTGGCTCCCCGTCACCTCCAAGGTCCCATCTCATGTGAAGTCTCCAGTTCAGCCATAGGTGTTGTTGCTATAGGTGTAGTTGGAGCAAGAAGGGCATCTACATTCTCTTGCTTCCTCTTGTTCAGTGGCACCAGAAAATCCATCTGCCTCTCCTGCTGTCTTGCTCAATTCAGTGGTGAAACTAGCCAATCCCTTTGTAGATTCTTGAGACTGGCCAGTCCTTTGCCATTCCCATATTCACATCCATTTACATAGCAAAGTCAAGTAATGGCTAGGAAAAGTCATATTAGAAGATAAACTCCATAGGCTACCTTCTGGCTTTTCTAGCCATTAACATTCATATATGAAAAGTTAACATATTCCTTAAATAATACAGCCATGTTTGTGAAAATGTATGATCAGCAACTTCATTCCTTATTTTTTTAAGCTCCGTCATTTTAGATGGCCGGTTGCTGATTTGCCCATTCCTTTCAAACCAGTACTCTGAGGAAACAAGTATATCCCTCTCTCTGAAAAAGATTCTGTTCGGGTTAGAACTTTTAGCATCGGCATCCATAAGCAAAGTCCAGTCAAGAACAAACCATCTGGTTGCAGCAGTCAACACTAACTCGCAGCATGGAAACATCTTCTTGGGTTCAAGTCACCTCATCTCAAGCCATCTGAGGCTAGGTACAAGTGGACTCAAGAGCTTACACTTATTGTATTCCAGACTGCCTGGTCCCTTCGCTCAGCCTTAGCCCCCACATGGGGCCAAGTCTATAGGATGGAGGTCCACATGACTCTCTATTTCTCAAAGCCTCCAACCATTTTGTACTTATCGATGTTCATGCTAGGTTCACAGTGCTGATGGAACATGTCACACTTAGCCTGTCTCTTTATTGCCACATGCTCTTAATTCCACTCCTATGGATATAGGTGTTCACCATGAGTGAACACTTGCCAGCTCCCTGTAAGTTAAAGTCCTAGAAAGGGGCTCTGAATGGGTACCAACTTTCACTTGCCTCAGAAGCCAAATTTTTTTCCAGTTTTAAAAAATCAGAGTCTCTCTCTTTCTTGCACATGTACCCAAAAGCCTAAGGAAGATTCATTCATTGCAGATATCCTCTGAGTACTGGATGGGGCTTAATCCTTCCCCAGGCTGAGCCCTGTGTCCTCTAATTCTATTGCTTTCAACAAGCATTTCTCCAGAGCAAAATTTCCCCTTTCTGAATATCTGATCAGCATTACCATCAGGGCTGATTATATATTTTCAAGATTTATAAATCTGATGGTCATTTATTTCATACATCTTAATATTACATCGGCAAAAACTTGAATTACATCCTAATATTATAGTGTGAACAAAAAAAAAACAGAAGCAGCAATATTCACAAAGTTAAATAAACAAAACCCTTATCATACAACCCTTTCAAAGAATTTAGAATTTCAGTGTCGTTCTCCATCCATAGGCCATTTTACCCACACATGTGCATATGACCTGAGGCATATACCCTTGTCTCAGGCCAAAAGCTGCTTTTTTTCCATTTTAGTAACATCAAAAGTAGCCATTTTAATTGCACTCCTCAAACCCTAACTTCTTACAAAATCACACATTTCCATGAGTCTGGAGCCATTGCATTCAACCCCGCTTCTGACACCAACTGTACATCTCTTTATTGAAAGATAAATTCCACACTTCCCTAAAATATTAATTTTCTATTAAATAGGAAAAGGAGTTCTGATATTTTAGTCTGTAAGGAGTTGTACCTCTAACCGAAATGTAGCATCTCTTTTGCAATTCAAATCCATCAGGGCTTCTTCTGGAGAGAGCTGGGCAGTCTCCCTCCCGTGCAGTTTACAGCCTCTTGAATACCTGCTGGAGAGTCAGCTGTGAGTCATGTTAGTCTTGACAGCAGTAGAGTTTTTAATGAAATTATAGAGTACGGCATTGAACCAGATCTTTCCAGTTCAACTGTCTCTTAAGAATTTACATTTCTGCCCTAGAAGTATTGAATCAGAATCTGTATCTTAACAAGATCTTGTATCTGCATAAAGATCACCTGGGGATCTTGTGAAACTGTAATTCAATAGTTCTTTGGTTTTTCTTTTTATTAATCCAGCTTTTACTTGTGTAAGAAATAATTTAATGAGTCCGTTCAAAGCCTTGTGGCAAACCATGATCTGAAGGCTAAAATCAGCTTCATTTATCAATTTCCTGTCACGTAGGAATTAGAGTTGTATTCCTATATGTCTTATATTTAAACAATCTAATGAACTAGAAAACTTTTTTTTCTTTTCTTTTTAGGTCCCCAGACTGAAGAAATGATGTCTGTTACGATGCATTCTATCCATAAAGTGAGGGTAAAAGCACTAAAGCGTGTGTGCAGAAATATAGGTTCTTTTGAGACAAATATATGGGAACCAGTTGAAGAAGACAAACCAGATGATGCTCCAGTTTTTGACACATTTTCCCTGGGGACTAGTCTGAGCAGGAGTACACTCTCAGAAGTGGGGAGTTCTCTGGTTCGCAGTGATGCAGATACAGCAGATACTTTGTCTGAAGCTTTGTCGGTGGAAGAAAAAAACAGGATACTTATCTGTCCAAGGTATAGAATTGACTGGAATTCATATATAGTAGCTGGAATTCATTCCCGTTGGAGGAAAAAGGTTTAAAAATATTTTTATACAACCACTGAGCCCATTTCCTTTTCTTTTCCAACAATCTTCATTGACTGTACTATTAGTAATATGAATGATAAATGGTACTCTTTATAGCATTGAAAGGGAACATTGGTGGCATAGTCTATTACATGGTGGGTTAGTAACACAAAGGTCAATGTTTCAAAATCAATTGCTCTGTTGAAGAAAGGTAGGAAGTCTCCCTCATTAAGATTTTTACCTTGGTGGGCTATTACGAGGCAGAATCAAGTCATTGACATTCAGTATATTCATAAGAATATTTTGTGTTGGCTTCAATTTAGCGAAAACTGTGTAAAAAACAAACAGAAAATCTGCTCAATCCTTTGATATCCTCACAGTCTGTGCTGTACTTATACCCATTGTGGCGGTCACTGTGCTAAACTATCTTATTGAGGATCTTCCCTTTGTTTTGGCTAACTCTCTAGCAAGTATGAGTCCCCTTGGGTCTGGCCTTTTCTCATAAAATGCCCAAAGTATGTGAGAGGAGGTTTCACCAACCTGACCTCTAAAAAGCACTCTGGCTGCACTTTCTCCAAGACAGGTTTGTTTGTTCTTTTGGCATCTTGTGGTCAGTTTCCACCACCACAATTCAAAGCCATCAGTATTTCTTTGATATTTCTTATTCTTTTTCAATTTTCACAAGTATTTGAAGCAAAGATACCAAAGCTAGGTGAGGCATAACAGTACTTAAAGTGCATTCTTGCTTTTCAACACTTTAAAAGAGGTTCTTAGAAACAGATTTGCCCATTAAAATATTTTTTTTAAATTTTTTGGTGTTTTCCATGAACATTGATTGTGAATCCAAATGAAATATAAAATCCTTGGCAACTTAAATCTTTTCTCTTTTTAATATGATGTTTATTGGTCCAGTTAGGAGGACTTTTGTTTTCATTATGGTGAAGTATAATCTGTATTGAGGGCAATGAGATTGTATGTCTGGAATTGTTTTTAAAAGTATTATTGGGAAAAAAATATTAAGATAGCAAATAATTTTGCTATCTAATGAAATAAAATAAATAGGTACATTCTAGATAACACTGAGGTGCTTTTAGTACTATTTAAATATAAATAACCTTCCTATTTATATCTAAACAGTACTGAAAATCTCTCAGTGGAGGGTCATTGAAACAGAGGAAGTCTCTGGACAAGATGAACTGACACAGTAACTACTTCAGTGGACTCAGGTCTACCAGAGATAATGAGAATGGCACAGGATAGGATAGGGTTCAGATCTGTTGCTCATAGGGTTATTATGAGTCTTAAGTGACTCAGTAGCACCTAACAAAAACAAATATGTCTAGTTTGGGATTAATAGTTTATTGATTTTTTTTTAGGGATTTTGTTTTTGAAACTTGCCCATAAATTATTGAGTAATTCTTGCTTATCATCTAAATCCCTTACTACTATTTATTTCCTTATAATTCTAGAATTACAATATAATTTATATTTCTCATGAGTAAAAAATTGCTTTATTTTCTTTGAGAATAGAGACAGGAAAACACTGATTCACCACTTTCTACGTAGATAATTCATTGACAGTGATAACACTTTTCAGGTTATGTATCCATTCTCACTGTACCAAATTATTCTTCCACTACTAACAAAAACTCACTGCTGCGTAAGCATCTTATCTAACCTTCTGTGTTGATGTTGTCAGTTTGACACATAGATCTTTAAAAGAACACAGTGTTCAAGGCAGATATTCTTTATTAACCTATTGTTTGTCCTGGAAAGGGTTAAACCGGGTGGCTCCTTGGAGGCAAGGATTCTGAGGCTCTGTCTAACATACTTTGGACATGTTGTGAGGAGAAACCGGTCCTTAGAGAGGGACATCATGCTTGGGAGGGTGGAGGGACAGCACAGGAGAGGAAGGCCCTATATGAAGTGGATTGATTCAGTGACTGGGATAATTGGGATGGGAGTGTCAGAGACAGTGCGATTGGCACAGGACAGAGCGGAGTTTAGGGTCGCTATGAGTCGCAGGCGACTCGACGGCACATAACAACAACAACCAACATTGTTTGGTATGAAGAATACTGATATGAAAAGTACATTATTTTTAAAGATTATACCAGGACAGTGGTTTTGGGGTTCATTCAGCCTCAGTGGCTCCAGAAAGTCTGCAGTTTGTGAGAGTTTGAAATTATGTTTTTAATTCTCCCCTTTTTATCAAGTTTTGGTTTGTTTTGGCTTTTTTTTCTCCATAGAATCTTCTTTCAGAATTGTTGTAGCTAGGCACCATCCATTTCTGGTCTGGTCTCACAGCGAAAGATGAAGTTGTTTTTTGAGGCAGTTAGGGCTACATTCTGTTTTCTCCTCCTTTTCCCAATTGTCCTTATATTCCTCTGCTTCTCTTGGTTAATTGAGACCAATTATCGTACCTTTAATGGTCACTCACAAGATTTTTAAACTCTCAGCACTAAGCAATGACCTAGGAGAACAAACGCATTAAAAGTTGTTGTTGTTGTTATGTGCCGTCGAGTCGTTTGCAACTCATAGCGACCCTATGTACAACAGCCCTAAACCCTGCTCTATCCTGTGCCAACCGCACTGCCTCTGACACACCCATCCCGATTACCCCAGTCACTGAATCAATCCACCTCATAGAGGGTCTACCCCTCCTGCGCTGTCCCTCCACTTTTGCCAAGCATGATATCCCTCTCCAAGGACCTGTCTCTCCTTAAAACATGTCCAAAGTAAGTCAGACGAAGCCCCAGAATCCTTGTCTCCAAGGAGTAGCCTGGTTTAACCCTCTCCAGGATGAATCTGTTTGTTTTCTTGGCAGTCCATGGTACATTGAATACTCTTCTCCAGCACCACAGCTCAAAGGCATCAATTCTCCTTCTGTCTTCCATAGTCATTGTCCAACTCTCTGATGCATAACAAGTGATTGCAAAGACCATGGCCTGTATCAGGTGCACCTTAGTCTCCAGAGAGACACCGTTGCTTTTGAGTACTTTAGAGAGGTCCCTAATAGCAGACTTTCCCATGGCAATACGTTTTTTGATTTCCTGGCTGCCGGTGCCAAAAGTGTTGACCGTGGAGCCAAGGCATTAAAAGTTATACTAGGTCAATTAATGGATATCTCATGAACTGTGACAATAAACTCAAACCAAGGAGCCAAATCCCATTAAGTAATTTCAGTTGTACATGAGCAGGATTAGTTGGTGTTGCAAAAAGAGAACTTTTTAAAAAATAGTACAACATTCCTTCTTTTCTTGGCTGGGGCTGGGTGGGTGGTCCTGGTCCCTGTTATATACAGAGGCAAAGGGAGAGGGCTCTGGCCCCCTCGACATCATGTCTTCGGTGCTGGTGGCTTCCTGTCTGCCAGTTCTATCCTCAGGCAACAAGGCAAAGGGGGGGAGGAGCACAACACAACATCACAACATTTTCCAGTTCATCTTTTTTCAGGTATACAGCTTTGTGACATCAGTTATCTTTACCAATTATACAGCCCCAGCCACTCATTTAACAGATAATTGAGGTACAATAAAAGGTAGTTGTCTCAATCACTGAAGTAAATATTATGCCATTCAAGAAAGAATTTTAGTAATGAAATATTTTTTTCTTTTTCCTGCTGTAGAAACATACCACATCATATGGAATTAACATCTGTTGGTAAGCCCATTGTAAAACAGAAAGCAGATGATCAGAAAGAAAACTCAGAAAGAAAAGAAGAACCTGAAAAGTCATCACAAAATGCAGTTCCTGTAATAGGTGTTTGGGAATTTGAACGTGATGATGATGAATATATTAAGTTCCTTGAACTCTTCTTGAGTTATGTTCTTGAAAAGGACCTACTTATCTCAGGCCATCCTGGTATTCCATTTCTAACCAGTTTTTCTTCACATCTCAGAGAACATGAACTTAATTCTTTAGTTTTTGATGTGCATACAACTTTAAAACGACGTCAGGGCAAAAACACAAGCCAGAATGTGTTCCGAGCTGGCTCTTGCTTTCTTATTGCTCCTGAGTCACGTGAATCTGAAAACTCCTCTTTCAACAAAGAGAGTGACGCTCATGTGGAAAACCAGGCACTTTCTGCTTCTGTAGTGCTTACTCAAGACGTAAGACCTTTTGTAGAGAACCCGTTGAATGAAGTCAATAAAAATGAAACAAAAAGCGGATTGTTTGGTGTAAAACAAAAATCTCTTTACAGAATGCAAAATGGTGATCAAGAGAAACCTTTAGTATGCAGATTGCCAACCCATGTGTTTTGGACTCCCAATTCCATTAAAACTCAAAGACATATTTTCAAAGTAATTCAAAACAGAGACCTTAGTCCTCAAAAAGATCCTCCTTTAGAGTTCACTGACACATTTGGCAGTATAGGAAGGCTGGTGGAATGGATGATAAGATGGTCTGAGAGAAGACTGCTCTGTGATCCTAGTACCACCGAGTCACCCTGGGAGTACAGCCCAGTAATCCGAGTGAAGACCTCTGCGGCCGCTATCCTTACATCATTATGGCTTTCAAGACAACCCTACTTTGCTGTATACAAAGCAGAACATCCCCTTGATAAGGTAAGTATATGAACACTTGATTACAAAATAAAATGTCTTCTTTACATTACAATTAGGTACATCCTTATAGATTAAAGAATCATAAAGTAACCGGAAGGGAGTTCTGGTGCCTTAGGCCTCAGCATGTTGCTTTGCTAAGCAAAAAGTCAAGTGGTTTCTGTGGCTCAAATGCACCGAGGGCTTCAAGAGAGAAAGATGCGCAGCCCCTCGCACTGAAATGTAGAACCTTGGAAGCCTGATGGATGGTTACTGTAAGTCGGCATCAAGTCAGTGGCAGAGAGTTTGCAGTCTTTTGAAGTAACTGAAACTTGATTATCATCTGTTTCACCTGGAACTTTTTTTGGTTCCTTTAATTCTTAAATACATGAAAGTGCTGTGAGATTTGGATACTTTGTGTTTGGAACAAAAAGGAAGAAGATAATGTAGCCTGTTTTAAAAAATGATCCTACATTTATATTTAATTTGTCTTTTAAGTTGCAGATTTTGAAGAAAGACTAAACCCAAAACCAAACCCATTGCTTCTATTCTGATTCGTATTGATCTTTAAAGACAGAGTGAAGTACCCCATAGGGCTTCCTAGCCTGTAATCTAGACAGAAGCAGATTACCACTTTATTCTCCTGGGGAACAGCTGGGGGGTTTGAACCATAAACTTTTGATTAATAGCTGAACACTTTATCACTATGCCACCAAGAATCATAGAAAAACTATACAGTTAAGTAGGTTTTTATTACTGATACCTCTTCATATGAATTAGGGAATCATCTCCTGTACGTTGTGGCCAGAAGAGGCTGAGAATCAAACCTAGAAAGTCCTGTTATTTCCTGAATATACAAGACAAAATAGTTGGACAGAGTAATATTTTGCCCCAATATTTGGAGAATTTCAATTCAATAGTAACTAAATTAGTTCTATTTTAATATACTTTTATTAAACATAAATTATTTTGTGTTGATGAGTGTAAAGCATGTGTGTATTTATTTGTGGGATCTGGGAGGGTTTTTGTTATTTTGAGACTTGATGCTGTTATCCTAGAGTGATTGTTATTGTCTTTATGTGCCGTCAAGTCAGAACCAACTCATAGCTAACAATCCAGCAGATTTTCAGAGACTTGTGAATTGCAAGGAGGAGGTTGACTATTTTTCTTTCACACCGCAGCTGGTGGATTGGAACTGCCTGCCTTGGGGTTGGCAATACGACTTCCTTACCACTAGTGCACTGGAGCTCCCCTGTCCTTAAGTAATTGTTGTTTATGTGATTCTTTAATATTTGTTGTTTAAGTTTGAAAGCATTTCTAGGTGGTTCCTACTTAACAGTTTTAAGAGACAATTGGATATTCTATGTATTGTCAACTGTTGCCTATTAGATAGATCATTTTGAAATATTTAAATGTCATTATAATAGCAAAGAGATTGAAAATGGAAGCCTCATTATATTCTTACTACTATTGTTTTGAGGCCTGAAATGGAAATTGACATAACATTTTTGTAAGGCTAATTGCTTTTGATTACTTTATAGGCAGTGAGAGTTTGCCCTTTTTTAAATTCATGCATTGTTGCCATTTTCTTCTCTCCCCCACCCTGCCTCCTCCCAGTCCACTTTGCCCTGTACCTCTTGTTCCAGATTGTTGTACAGTTTCTTTTTGCAGATGAGATACAGACTTGCTTAGTGCTTCAGCAAAAAATATTTACATAGTGATACAGTTTTTAATATATCAATAAAATAATGAGAAATTCTGTAGACATTATGAATAATATAAAAATATATAGAAAAAAAAGGTTCCCGAAATGAATGCTAAATACTATGAATGTTTCATTATAGGCTCTAGAAAATCATTACTTGAGGTCTCAGACAGTACCTGATTCTAATCAGGGCAAGACAGAAGATGACTATTCAGTTGCTGTAACAGCTCAAGGTGGGGCTGAAGAAAGAAATTATCACAATGAACCTTGCCAGAGTATCTTAGGGTAAGTTGTCAATTAAATCTTCTTTTTCAGTAAAATATGTGTGGCTTGGTGATGTTTGGGTTTAATGGAAAGAACTTAAGGAATGAGCATTTCTTTAAATCAGGAGAGTGGGAAGTGGGCACTTTCTAAATTGCTCTAACAGTTCATTGCAAATTATGCTTGCTCCCAATTAGTCACTTGTTTTTTTAAATTGAGGTTTTAATGAAATTTATAGAGAACATGGATTTCCATTTATTCATTGTTGCACATTTTCCTCCCCTTCCCCCCAGTTCACTTTTCTCTTTGGGAAAAAAAAAATTCATTGTTGTACAATTCGTCCCCCACCCCCCACCCTGTCCACTTTACTATGTAGGTCTTATTCTGGGCTGTTGTCATGCAGCTAATACCTAATCATATATTACGTTTAAGCAGTTCTCTCTTTCATCTGTTTAAATACAGTGTACATTATTTATCCCCTCTTTTCTTAGTTTCTCCCCAACCCCCATGTCAGTCCTGCTTTATAACAGTGACATTGTGCAGTATTTGTCCTTTTGTGACTGAGATATTTTACTCAGCATAATTTCCTCCAGGGTCACCCATTTTGTATATTTCATGAGTTCCTTGTTTTTCAGTGCAGCATAATATTCCTTTGTGTCAATATACCACAGCTTCTCTATCCATTCGTTTGTTGATGGGCACTGGGGTTGTTGCCATCTCCTTCCTATTGTGAAAATGCAGCAGTAAACATGAATGTACATATATCTGCTTGGGTGGCAGTTCTGGTTTCTTTGGGGTATATCCCCAGTAGTGGAATTTCTGGGTCAAATGGTATTTCTATTTCCAACTTTTTGAGAAAGCACCATATTGCCTTCCATAGTGGTTGCATTTTACACTCCCATGTTATGCTCACTCTCACCAACAGTGGATAAGGGTGCTCCCAGTTTCTCTACAACCTCACCAGCGTTTGCTGTTTGCTGCTCTGTTCAATTTTGCTATTGTTACTGGGGTGAGATCATATCTCATAGTTGTTTTCCCAGTTAATCTAGTATCTTCTGAGAGAGTTGCTAATAAGAAAATTACTTTTCCTTAATTATACTAATTTATCTCTCCTGTCAGAGGATATTAAGCTAACCATTTCATCTCTTTTTACATATGAAATAATATTAAGAATAATATATCTTTGAAAACCAAAACCAAGTAAGAGGATTCTTTTGGGAGACTAGCAGATACTTTAGAAAAATTAAAATTATTCTAATCTTTTGAATTAATAGAAAATTGGGATGTTAAGTCATACATTGAACAACCTGTTATTGAGCTTGCTTTTATAAATATCAAAACTAGCATGTTCTTTGCTTTCAAAATCTGAATGGAAGGAAGATAAACTCTTTTGTCTATAAGACTGGGTTGTAATTTTAGCTGCTTTGTGTTTGTTCCTAGAGTGCCAGCTAACACAAAAAAACTTGAAGTGAAAGAAATCAATGAGGAGATTACTTCTGTCACTCATGATTCTGAAAAAGAATTTAGAACTATTGATGGGGCTCTTTTAGAGGATGTAGGTATATTGACAGAGGAGGAAATGGATATGCACATTTCAGACTGTGAAGGTTAGTTCACTTTGGCTTTATCAATTTGATAGTAATGAACAGTGATTATCTGTGATAACTTAATTTTATTTCCAATTTAATATCACTGTGCTCACAAACCAATTGTTCAGATAGAACAATGCAAAACAGCATGATTTAAAATCAGAAAGGTTTACTGCAAGGTTGTAAATTTTTACCCTGTTTATTTGATGCGTATATTGAGCAGATAATCCAAGAACTTCAGTTGCATGAAGAATATGCCATCAGGATTGGAGGAGGACTTATTATATTAACAACCTGTGAAATGCAGGTAATACACCTTTCCCACTGAAAATGAAGAGGATTTGAAGCACTAGTGAAGATCTAGAACAGCATCCCTGAGTGTGAATTACACCTCACCTCGGCATAAGAAAACAAAATCATCACAGCTTAACAAATGAGCCGCAACATGATAGAGAAAAGACTGAATTTAACTTTCCAAGTATTTCATTTTACACAGATCAACATCCATGAAAGCTGTAGTCAAGAAATTTCAAGTTGTGAGAAGAATTAATGTTGGCAGAGATTGTTGCATATACGTTGTACAGTTCTTTAAAAAGAAGAAATAAATATGCCGTGGAAGAAATAACAGCCACAATGTTTAGAAGCAAGGATAGCAAGATTTCGTCTCATTACTTTGGTTTTGCTTATAGGAGGCATCCAGTTCCTGAAGGACATCATGCTTAGTCAAGTAATGGGCTCAAATGGCAACAATATTGCGGATGGTACAGGAACAGGCCTTATTGTCGTGTCTTATGAGTCCAAATCAACCCAGGAACTCCTAACAACAGTTGAGCCTCCTGCCTTATTTTGAGCCTCTTCATTCCTATTTAACCACTTCAGTGAAACTTGTAGAATTGTTCCTTAAAGCAATAACTATTGAAAAATAATAAGAACTTCTTTGAGCTTTTCTGAGTATATGCACTGACTGATATGAGGCCTCCCATAAGGTGCGTTTGATTCAAGCAGTGGTCTTTCTGATTACTAGCTATGCATCTGAGACCTGGACAATGAATATAGATGACAGAAAAAGAAATGATGCCTTTGAGCTGTGGTATTGGAGAAGAGCACTGAATATCCCATGGACAGTCAAGAAAACAAATATATGCGTCTTGGAGAGGGAATAGCCAGAGTGCTCTTTGGAGGCCTGGATGATGAGGCTTTGACTCATGTACTTTGGACATATTGCTAGGAGGAGCTATTCATTGGAGAGGAATATGATATTGGGCAGAGTAGAAGGTTGACAAAAGAGAGGAACACCCACAGCCAGATGAATGGACAAGGAGTTCTTGTGTGTCAGGAAGTGTGAGGATGACGCAGGACAGGACTGGTTTCAGATCTTTTTGTTCATAGGGTCTCTACGAGTCGTACTTGACTCGATGGCACCTAACAACAACAACAAAGCTCATCTGGTATTCATCTATGGAGAAGGGAGAGTTTCTCAATGTTTAAAAATATTTTTGTTAAAAGAATAAAAAATGTTCCTTCCATTTAAGTTTATTTTAAATAATTTTAGAATTACAAAAGGATGAAGTAATTTTAGGACTCAGACTTTCTAGTAAGTCAATATTTTTTAAATTTTATTTTATTACTTGAATGAAAGTTTTCAAATCATGGGTTTTTCATTCATTCATCAAACTAAAAATTATTACCTTTAAGACATTTTATTTTATAACATTATTTATTCATTGCAAATACATTTTATAAGAGACACAAACGCAGATTATAAACATGGACTTCACCTGATGGTATGCATAGGAATCAGATCGACTACATCTGTGGAAGGAACTGCTGGAGAAGCTCAATATCAGCTGTGAAAACTAGGCCGGGGGCTGATTGTGGAACAGACCACCAATTACTCATATGCAAGTTCAAGCTGAAGCTGAGGA